AATTTGTTTTTTGGGCCCCTATACATAATAATTTTTAACTTGGGCCCTTATTCATAATTATTTTCAAATTTGGGCCCCGATGTGTAATTTCTCCAAAAAAAAAACTACATTCTTGTAAAGCATCTTGAAAAGCGAAACTCAAATAATTAAGAAAATGCTAGCAAAGGCATAATAATCAAAAAAAAAACAGTGGCGTTCTATTCAAGCAATAAAAAAAAAAGAACAATAGCAAAAATATATGTATTGGTACCAATTCTATCTTGTCAGTATATGTATTTTGTGCAATTCCAATTAAAATTTCAAATGATCCAAAACTGTATTCATTACATATTCCACAGAGACCCCCCAAGTCATCCCAATATTGTAGATGTGTGCAATTTTCAAGTCGTCCCATAAAAGAAGTTTTTTTTCATTCTATTTGAAAAGGTTTGTTGAAACTTTTTTCAAAGTCCATCCTTATTATTGCACAAGTATAGAATAGACAAGTTAGTTTTCAGGTCTATCTTATATGAGCTTATCGTAATGTTATCTTTATTAGAAAAAAAAGATTCAAACTGTTTCTCTTTGAATTCGGCCATTAATTTAGTCTTTTTTTTTGGAATTTCTAGAGGTGGAGCACTAGTACTGTAAAGACATGCATATCTTTTGGCTTTGTATATAGTTTTTAAGGTCATCTATATTTTTTAATAGTAAAATTGTATTATATAATAAATCTCATTAAAAATAAACATTTGATGCCTACTTCTAGTTCACTTTGAAGTACCTGATAATTGAAGTCAAGTGTGATTATAGAAAGTATTCGAATTTTCTCTTCGACTCCTTTAATATTAATATCTAGTGCATGGCAAAAACTATCCCAAAATTGACAATTTATTGTAACATTACATGGAGAATCTTGTATTTAAAGTAATTCCCATTGATACAAATTATATAGAGTTTGCCAATCTGCTTTAGGATCTGCCGTACATGTCCAAAATTCAACTTCAGATTCTTCTTTTGAGTATAGTGTAATATTCGTGCATTTACATGCTTGAAACATAGCACGCCAAGCTAATAAATCTTTTCATTGAAACACATAACCAGGTGGGTATATACTATACAAAATATACTGAAACCGAATTATAAAACTTTGTTGTATTAACCACTTAGTAAAAAAGACTTTCCATTCTTCATTAGGCATTGTAAGTTTTCTATGCTTGATATGCAGATCAAATATTTGCTACAAAGTTAACTTGTCTTTCCACTGAAGTGATATACATGTTGTACATGTCATGCTTTTATTTCTCTCGCTAATAAGGCTTGAACTTTTGAATCCTTTAGTCCAAAAAGTGCAAGGTGATCATTATTTTTGCACATTTCATATTTTTTCCAAACAATAGTTGGTGTTTTACCAACATATTGACTTATTTGATTTTTGCTATTAAAAACCCACAGACTACAGTAATCTTCTAATATCTGTTGTAAAATAATATAGGTTTCTGAATTACAATATATTGTTTAAGATGACGCAAAGCCTAGTTCAGCATATAAAAGATCTTCCCATAAAGAATATCCAATTTTTGAAACTATTATAGAAAACCTGCTAACTTGTATATATAATAGTATTATTTTGTAATTCTGATACAATTTCTATGTTATAGAACCCAAATACTGCTAATCTGAAATACTCTGTTTGATTTTCAAACATTTCCCAGTATATAAAGTTAATGGTAGCCGAAGGTGTATCCTTTATATTACTAGTTTTTTCTTCTACTGAGTATAAAAATCCTGGTTGTAAGGGGTTAGAAGGCCTATTAACAATAGACAAGATAAAGTTATACCCATTTATTTGGGTTATTACACTCATATAAAGGCATAAAGGAAGTGTTTGTATATTATCATTTGTAATTTTTAAATTTGGAATCCACCAATCATGAGTGTATGGTCCATAGTGAAGATTTGAGCTTATTTGCCCTTTGTTTACAAGTTTTATAGTATATTTCTTATTTCTTGATATTTTTAATTAGACAAATGTTCACCATCCCAGTAATAAGTAATTTTTAATATCAAATGCCTGCCATATATTACTATGAAATGTTGATCATTTTTTACCTTTTAATTATGATTTTCTACTTAAATAACTTGTTAATTATACAAGTATATGATTTAAAAATAACATTATATAATCACAGAGAGTACTAAAAGCTTAAACTAATTACCTGTAACCTAAACCTACTAGAGTGGTCAAGACTCACTGAGGTTTAAATTGTTAGAATATAGTTAATAGGTATGCTATATTTAATCTACATAGTAGACCAAATATTGATTTTAAGAATAGCTTGTTCTAGAGGAGGACAAGTATTAAGTTCAGAGTGTAACCACAAGGACAACTGTAAATATAGTTAATTTTGTTTTTTCTATTGGTTGACTATAAAAAGATTGAAATAAAGTATTAAAGTTAGTGTAAGAAGAAATTTGGCAAGTTGATATATGTTTTTGTATTGTAGATATGAAAATATTATTTTCTCTTGCTCTTGAAGAAGAAGAATTGAAGGGATTAGCTTTTAACAGGCTAACAAAGTTTATTTACTTGTATACAAGTTAGTGCAACAAGTTGCTAATAGGCATATTTTATCATAGCTGTGAGATGCTATACTTGCAATTTGTAGAAACTTATTTAGATAGAAGTGCTTGTATGTTCAAGATAGTTTATCATCACTATTTAAATAAAGTTTTTGTATTTGAGTTATAGCAAGACTATAAAGAGTAAAATATATATATATATATATTGTATAGTGTTTATAGTAATACAAATCTCAGAGGTGTGGCAACTTAGTGAAGTGGTCTAGTTGTCATCCTCTCCAAGTGAATAGGCCTGTGGTATAAGATGACAGATCTTGAATTGAGGATCTGTAACTTGAGTTGTACTAGGGAGTGATCCTGGGAGATCCACTAGCATTTGTACAACTGGGAAAACTTAGGAACTACAAAGAAATGCAAACCAGTTTAGGGTAGTGCAAACACTCGATAAGTTCATGATTATGTAAATCTTAGAGACTGTTCATCACCATACAGGAAGCCCATTTGGGAAGTTCCGAGTCTTGGAAGTAGTAGTGATCTTTGACAGTACTACATAAAGGCTAAATTCGAACCAGGGCCCAAGATTGGAGAACCGAGCAATCAGGTTCTTTAGTGAGGGGATACACCAGCTAAACCGCCAGTTTAGATGCACCAAAGGAAAAAACTATATACTTCAAAAGTATGGACTAAGAGGAGGGCATCCTTCAGGCACCTGAAGCCTGGGCAGACCAACCTGTCTGGGTTGCTAGCTAGAAGTAAGAGAGAGACCGATAGAGAATCTGGGTAAGAAGATGGTTGAAGTGTGGGTATCAGAGTTGTTGTGAACCATACAAGATCAGGTACTTGAGATACAGATTGTATTACAGCAGCACCCCAAAAGGTGGCATGAGATACGAACACAATGGCAGTAGACAATATGTGAAGATTATAAACAATAACTTTTCTGAATTTTCTGAATCTCATGTAACCTAGGTAATATACTGTAAAAAAAATAGATTAGTCATGCAGTTGCAAACACCAATTTGGCTATAATATACAGTAATTGGCTAGTGTTATTGCCCAGCTCTGATTTCTAAATTTTGGCCAATCTGGCTATACAACTTACTGTATTTTTGCAAAATAACATAGAGGTTGTATCCATCATAAAATTTAATACCGGATTATCCACCCATCTACAAGTGACATACTGGATTATAAACTGGATTACCCAAATTTATCCGGATAAATATACAATCCCGGGTTATCCGGTTTTATTACTAATACTCTGCGGAAAATTACAAAGAAGTTTTTATCACAAGATCATGATCAGGTAAATTTTTTCTTGGACTTTATTAATGACAAAGTTTAATTTTAATACCAATTACTAATTTTAATATGGGACAAGAAAAATGCTATTATAAAAACTTTTGAACTCAATGCTTGTATTTTTACTCAAGAGAAGTTTTTGCCACTTATTATAAAACGTTGTACTATGTTGGGCAATAATACAGAGTCAAAGCTCGATTAATATCTATTTGTACTTCTGGCTTTAAGAAAATAAGTATAATTTCATTTGTCTTGTACCTTTATTCAAATAATATAAAATTTCATTTATATAATGTTAATTAAATGACTGTTTCTTTTTAAAAATAAAATTTAAGAAACAGTTTCAGAACCAAGACAAGCCTGTTTTGGAGTTATTTGATTTTTAGCATCTGAGAATAAGTGCTCAGTTGGTACTGAGACAGCTAGTATTGCTAAATATTTTTTTGCAAACTGACTCAAACCTAAAAAATCTTTTTCATACTCTTTCCACCATTCTAGAGACAATTTATCTTGCAAGGCAACTGGGAATTTTTTAATATCCATGTATGTATCTAATTCATTATCAGTCAAATCATTGTTATCATAGTCATCTTGAAAAATTGAAGTGAAATATCAATAGGTTGATGAAGTGGTAGCTGGAGAAGTTGCAATAGATAAAGATCTATCATTGGCAATAGTATCAAGTTCTTTACAACATAATCTGATAGTTTTTTCTTTTATATAGTTAGGCCAGGGGCGCATTTTCTTAAGTCTTGGATCCAGTAATGTTGCTAAAAGACCTGCATTATTTCGATTTCCCCAATATTTCTGAAGAGAATTATATATTTCTTGTTTAACCTTTAAAATTACAGATTGAATAGGAGGAATTCTTGGTAACTGAGTACTGGTATTATCATATTCACTTTCACTGTTATCATCGCTTTTACTATAATAGCTTATATCAGGTTCTAAAAAAAATATATATATATTAGTTAATACATATACACGTATATTAGGTAAGACTATTATTTAAAAATAATATGTAGCACTAGAATTAGTTTAGAATAATACTATATCCATCAATATCCAGTTCAATATTAGATAAATTTGAATTAAATTCTGATTTCAAAACTTTAACAACTGGATATATAACAGACAGAGTTGGGTATTTTTCAGCACTGAATACTTCGGTTGCCTAGTTAAATGGCTCAAAAATTTTAGTTAACTCTTTGACCAACCTCTATTCGTTTTCAGTAGACCATCCTTCTTTTCATCTAAATTTCTTGAAATATTCAGATTAGCTTCTAACTATACGATTGCATCCTTTAATTTTATTAGCCTTTTCCATGCTCGATATTTCAAATTCCAACATGTAGGACAATCTTTGACTATTCGAAGAGTATGAGAAGCCAAATTTATACTTTGTTGTTCTATTGAATTTCCATTATCAACTTTATCAGGTTCTTTACCTTCACCTTCATTATATATTTCAGTATTAACTGAATCAGAAATAAGTAAATGATCTCTTTCTGCTATGGCTATTTGGGCTTTTTTCAGTTTTTCATTTTGTTTTGGAGTATCAAAAAATTTAACAAGTTTTTTTATTTTTTTTATATATGGACGGACTTTTTATAAGACAAAATTGACTGTCAACTATAAGGTATGTGCCACACATGGAATTTGTTCAACGGAATTCTATTTTTGAATTGCTTTTACTATGTTTGCCCCATTGTTGGTAACAGCATATACGATTTTTTCTTGAAGGTTAAACTAATTACATTTATTGATAATAAATTGATAAATGGAGTTACCTGTATAGGGATATGGTATTTTTTTACAGCAAATTGTTATGCTATGCAGGTTCCAATTGGGAGTTATTCAGTGACAAGTGATTCCTATATAACCTTCCTTATTTTGTGATGTCTATAAATTAGCTGTTATTGTGGCAGTTTTACAAGAAGTTCTAATCTCATCTTGAAGAATATTGATATTTTTTTGATAACTTAATACTAATTTATTTTTTATTAAACGATTAGATGAAGGATGAAACTTAGAGTCAATTACTGCCATTATTCGACAGAATCCTTTTTTTCGTAGTGTATTTAATGGTTGACTATCAAAGACAATCCATTCCACAACTTCTTTACTATTTTCTGATTGCTTAGTATTTTTATGTGGAGTCTTAATATTGATTATTTCAGGTAATTTGGTTTGCTTTGATTTTTGAATCTTGGCTTTTAATTTACTATTATCTACAATATTGTGAGCTGAATGTAAATGAACAATCATGTTAAACATTAACCCATCATGAGTATAGTTCACTTCACACTTTTTCTCTTTTTCCTTTCTTTACTAAAACTATAAAAAAATAAAAAATATTATTATTATATATTTATTATGTTTTTATTATGCTTTAAAAAACATAATAATTACTAGTGATAATTTAATAATAATAATATAAACAATACATATTAAAACTATTTTAATAATATTATTAAAAATGTTTTAAAACTATTTTTAAACTATTTTAAAAACAAATTAATTATATTTATAGAAAAATCTATTTGTAATAGCCTGTTAATGTTAGGTTTAGAGTTAGTGTTAATGCTAGAGTTAATATTAAGTTAGGTTTAAAGTTTATATTAAGATTAATACAAAATCACAAAAGGATCATTTTTTCATCAGCAATTATCAAAATTCTATAATTTGATTGGTCTAATATCATGTGATTCTGCTCCACTTTAGACAATCTCTCTTTAAAAGATTGATATTGTTTACTTCTCAAATTAGAATGAATTGGCGAAATACAACTACATGTTTGTTTACAGATAGATATGGTGCTACTTTACAGAACTTGGCCCAGGAACTCTAATTATAGTAGCAGGTGGCTTGAGATATGAGTCTTTGGATAGTGACAGCACCTGGCTTGAGATACGAATTTGAATAGGCAATAAAAATATCCAGAGTTGTTGGAAAGATCGAAAAGTAAACTTTAATATTAAGGCAAAGCTTTACAGAAAAGATATACAAATATTGTATTTGTTATATAATTTTTACCAGCTATGTATAGGTTATAATAGTGCCTTTAAAGTTTTAGATTTCTTTTTATATTTTTTCTTTTTTATAATCTGTATTTCTTTTTTCTTGTTATTTGTTTTTTTTTTTGATCAGTTTCATATTCTTTTTGTTTAAACTTTTTCTCTTTTGTTTCATACTCTTTAAAAAGAAGAAAAAATTTGAAGGAAAAGGAGTTCTAACACGATGGAAGCTAAGCCAGACTAGATTATATTAGAATAGCAAAAAACATGTTTTCATTTTTTAGTGTTTTAAAACATGTTTTAAAACAAATTGTATATTTTTTATTTTTTTTATTTTTTTTATTTTTATTTTTTATTTTTTTTTTTTTTTTATTTTTCTGTGTTTTTATTTTATTTTTTTT